GATGCCAGCTCAAGGGGGACAAATCAAGGTGGGACTAGCAAGGAGGGGAGGGACTATCCATGCAGTGACTCACAGGTTAGTTGCTATTTTAGCTGTGTGGTAAAAGTTCCTTCGTCAGAATCGACCGTACCGATTAAACACGTGAGGGACGAGACCCTAGGGGGGTCCCGTCACCGATTCAGATGTACCCGAAGGTACCCTAGCCCTCCTCAAACCATCGGGAGATGGAATGAATCCTTTCTAGTATTAGCGCCCGTTCATGCTACCGTGACAACTCTGTAGGTCTCCGACCACAACAAACCACCGTTCCAACAATGAAAATCCTTCACAGAGACATTCTTGCAACTTCATCACTCACGCTTACCCCCACATGGCATGCATACACGATCACTTTTTCCAAGTTCAAAACTCCCTAACTGGAACCAAAAGGCATGTTGATACTTTGCTACACACACACCCTGACATGCTTGGATGTATAAAATACACACCATTCCGTAAGGGTGCACATATTCACACACCACCCGACGAACCAACTACCCAACCTCTTCCCTCTACACCTTCCCAGCATAACATACAGATAGATACACAAGATGGCTACCAAACTGTCTTGTTGACCCTGTTACCCACAGGGGAGATATCGCTGTGTGCTGCTCGGGAAATCGTGGAAAAACAGAATTTTCGCTGATGCTATGGATTCATTGCTAATCTGTCGTAGACTCTTTCCTTCGATCGATAGAGCTGGATTTCGTTGGGTCATATTTGATGAAATAAAAAAAAGGCATGTTGCTTGTTCGTCACGTCATTTTCAGAGGGCCGGTCTACTCGAAGAATACCAAAGATGGAAGCGGCGAGTCGCGCTCCTCCAGACGACAGAACAACAGTGCAACATAGGGTCCTATCAACCCGACCCGACAAAACCGACCTGCTTGTAAGGTTTGTAACGTAAAAATAAACTCTGATTCCTGCATACCACCCTGGAAAGGTTAGCACCGACCTACTGCCATACACACAGCGCTACCAACCTCGACGGTGAATTGCGATGATGAACAAGGAAGGGTGCGAAGGCAGTACCAGGAGACGTCCGGTCGCGGCCTACGACATCTCTCACGAGTGGAGCAACTGGGAGACTTCTTGGCACGAGCAATCCGAAGCAGCGTGCGTGTCCTTGTCGACGACCGTCCCATAAAGTCTTCAGAGGTCGAGGGTGGGGGCGTGGCCTTCGTCGCGACGTCCGGGAATCTCAACCCAGATCGTTGGCCTCAACTGGCCTGACCCGAAGGACGTTGAGGCAATCCCATCACAACCATTCCAAGTCACCAAATCGAATGCCACAAAGACCGATGCGGAGCAAGCGCTTCCACCACACGGTGCCACTGCTTTGCCGACACCCCCGTGCATTTTGAAGAACAACGTGCTCAGGACTTGTAGATGCGCGTGTACTACGCCGGCAGGACAACGAAAAACAGTTCTTCAATCCCAGCAAGGAACGCAAAGAACCTACCTCCATGGAATGCCACCAACACGGCAACGACACCGACGGCGATCGCCCGGACACAAGTCGGTGACACGCCCGCAGAAAACAAGCAGAATGACAGAAAGCAAAGCCGACACGCGCGGACCCATGTCGGAGCGCCGACGGATGCATGTATGCATGGACCCCGTCCCGGGGGAAGGGCAGAGAACGAAACCACAAGGACAACGAGAGCAGACGACGTTGTTAGACCACGAAGCGTGTTATCCACTTGAAGCACACCCACAACGTCGAGACAATGACAACGAAATCGTATGCACGCCTTTGAAGGGCAACAGCAGCATGTATGTCTAGTCTACATGCCGATGCTGCTGGATAAGAGAGTCATTCGCCGCAGGATGCAAGTCCGGAACAGGACTGACTGAGACAGGCCATTCTCGACATCAGAGCGGCGGGAACCCTGTAGCTCGCATCAGGAAAATGGCGGAACATCGACCACAGGAATGGCACGACAACGACGCCGGGTGGACCACGAGAAAATGTAAACAACCAGGTACTTCAAAACCGTACGAGAGGAAGAAAGTAATCCTACATCGCCGTCTGCTCCCATGCCCCGACTTCGATTTTGGCACTGACGCGCCCGGTCAATGCCAAGGCATTGTGACGAACGAACATGCACGAACGGAGCGGGTGTCTTCTCGCCGCCAGCATTTCCAAGCGGCCTTCATCACATGCTTGATGGAACAATTTAACCACGCCCGGGATCCGGAGGAAGAAGTGGACTAGAAAACAGGCCAAAGGTTGCAAAATTTGCGAATGGTCTGGATAATTTCAGTGTCGAGAAGAGGCCACGCTGAAACTAATCGGTATCATATTTAGACTACAGTCGTACCGGTTGAACTACAAACGCACACCAGACCCCATCCATTCAAAGGGGGCTTGTCGCAGCACGGGGCTTATCTGTGCCGCAGCTACGCTTTCCGAGGGGCTGCTTGCCAGCCGAAGAACCTTGTCACCCGTCCACACTGGCTGCCCGAGAAACGAAACACGCCTCAGGACCAGATTGTCGCATGGCCAGAGCGTGTACACGCTCTCGTGCAGCCATCGCGCACAGACCGGAGGACATCACCAACAAGACTGACATTTTTCAGCTACACGTACGTTTTGCATGAGGGAAGGCTCTCCTGAGCGCCCTTTCCTTTTGTCCCAACCCCACACCATACAACTAGCCTATCAAAAAATATACTATTGGAGCGCACACAGGAAACCGTTAGTCTCTCTTTCCTGCAGCAGCAACTCACTCAGAACTAAGTCGTTCAACACCGTAAATACGCGTGCCTATTTTTCTTGTTTGATGGTCGACGCCCATCGAGCGCGAATGCATTCATTCCATGCACCACTAGCGAACACGATCAGGGTGGTAGTACCGCGCATACATCCAACAACAACACAGACTCAGGGGGTGACGGCACTTCCCGGGAACGGGACAGGGACAACCAAGAGGGCGGACTAAACCACACAAGACAAACAAAAAAACACCCCTCCCTGTAGCTTAGCAAGACGGAAAATACCAAAAAATCACGCCTGCGGGTAGTGGCGGATGCGGTAGAGCAGCACGCAACCGCGGTCGTTCCCGACAGCAAGAAACCCTCCCCCGGGGGAGAAGTCTAGCGCGAAGGGGTACCGCACGGGCGTCCTCTCCGTGGGCCAGTTCGTGAACGGCGTGCACGACGCAGAGTGAACAACCTTGAGCGCATCCCGCTGCTGGTTGGACGCGATCGCCAGCATCTGGGTTGTGGATTGTGAGAAGAGCGGCGAGCGAGCGTTCGTTTCAGCTCTCGACAGTTTCAGCGAAAACGAAGAAAGCGAGGAGTTGGCCACGTTCTTCCGGAGCGCACCACTCTTAGGGAGAGGCGTCCTGAGACGACCGGCAGCGTCCTGAGACGGCCGGCAGCGTCCTGAGACGGCCGGCAGTGTCCTGACAGAAATAAGCTCTATCACGCGAAGTGAATGATGGCGAAACCCAGAGGCGCCCGGTGTCAACCAAAGCAAAGAGGGGTACATTGAAGACAACGATGAGTTGGACAACGTACACCAAACGGCTCCACACCTAGAGAAGGCTATTTGAAATAGCACGAACATTCCGTAAACTTGCAGCGGTGAATACAATTTCCCGTCATGTGACGTGGAACTATAGGCCGCCTAGAACCTAGAGAAGCCGCATCCGACTTTTCCTGGAAGACCGAGCTGGTGGAGCGCGGGTGTACTCCGCTACACATGAAATCGCGCGAAACTGTGGACTGGATACATCACCTGTCCATCCGGGCTGAATTTGGTCGTGGTCACCGGTGTCGTCAGGCTCATCACTGCCTTAAGCGGCGATGGCCGAAGAACCCTCTTGCCGGTCTACCACAAAAAAAAAACACGAGCGAAGACGTTGGATGGGAAGAGGCACGCGGCCGGACAATCAATGAGGGAAAAAAAAAAAGACCAGGACTTGTGCGTGCAGCAGAGCAGTTTGCCATTCATGGAAGCGTAGCGGGGCACGAGCTCGCATGAGCAGAGACGACCCGAGCCCGGTCGCGAGTAGCGTGGCGAATTGTGTGCATGACACTTCAAAAGTTCAGATCCGACTCGTCGTCGCGGTGTTTTCGCGGAAGCACTGAACACGTATAGCAAGGCTTGATCACAGAAGCTGATCTCTGTCAAGGGGGGGAAATTTATGTACCTAGAAAAAACACAAAAAAATGTAAAACTTCGTGGGCGCGTATGTCCTCTACCACGAGCAAAAGAATCCAGAGCGTCCGGAACACCACTTGGCTCTTCCGCTCGACTCATGGAAACAAATCACCGACAGCCGTGAGTGTCACAAACACGACAACCGCACCATAACGCCGGTCATCGTGTACAGTACGGAGACGAATCTGCACCAGATACATCGAGCACGCGTAAGATCTACAGTCGTGGCTCCGATAGAAGAAGGTGGTGTGACAAAGGCCCTCTACCCTCTTATATCGGAGCCCCCTCTAATAAGTACCCTCTTGTATCCGAGCCACGATTGCTCTGTATGTACAGTCATTCCGTCGGTTAAGGACACACATGGCTGTTGTTTTAAACAAGCGTCCTTAAGCCGGGGAAGTGTCCTTAAGGTTGATACCCCTCCTAATGTTGTACGTTCTGCTAGCCACCATATGCCTGCGAAAAAAAAAGTTGTTCTTCACCGGGAGAGTGTCCTTGAAAACGGTTTCCTTAACCGAGGTATGACTGTACCTCCAGAGCGTCGGCGTCGTAGACGTTCACCACTCCGCTATCGCTACCCACGGCCGTGAGCCGCTGCGGCGACGAGGAGGTCGGTCCCTTAGACGCTAGGCTGCTCGTGCACGTACCGCCCTGCACCGAACAAAAAAAAAAAACGGTGAAGGGAGTGAAAAAAATCAATACCCCATGTTGGTCATCGTACTCTGATGCTTTGGACGCCTGACGGGCGGGCGAACGCGTGAAAACGTCATCTCGTAAGGGTGGGTTCGAAAAGCCTCCCCACCCTCTAGGGGTCTCAAGAGTTGATAACCCGTGGGCACATGTGCTGGTACGGCCTCTCCTAACGGGGTCGACACTCCTCGTCAAGGTATTAATAGTAATCAAAATGGATTCGCGCACCGGCCGGTCGTCTATGAAACATGCCGGTCCTAAAGCTGGAGCTACAAGGCCGCCAAAGGAAAGGAACGATGATCAGAGCAAAGGGCATACACATCACAATGTATCTGCGCCTCTCGACTCTGGCAGCTTTGTATTGAGACGGCAGCGAGGGCGCGAAGGCACCACAAAAATTCCCCCTTAGCGAAACCGAGGGGCCGTCGCGAACAGCTTCATCAAGCGGTACAGGACCAAGAAGGCAGAGGGGCACGGCAACTGCGGCAGCAACAGGGGCGGCGGCCACGGCAAAACCTGCCTGAAACCGTCCGTACAGGCACTTGGAGGGAAAAAAGGCCAAGCACTTGAGAAAAAGAGGCAGGTTCTTGAGAAAAAAAGAAGGCAGGCACTCACCTCGTTGAAGAAGCGGAGGACGCACCGCCGGGAGCGGATGTCGAACTTGTAAACGTCCGCGTCCGCGCCCGAGGCCAGCACGTACCGGCTGTCCGGGGAGAAGGTCACCGCCGTGGCGGTGGAGTTGAGCTTGAAGTCTGCCGCCCACTGCTTGGTCTTGCTCGACAGCAGGAGAACGTACCCTTTTTTGGTGCGGGAAGGACACAACGAACGGCCAAGCAGCGGGCGGCACCCGCGCGCGACACGTCAACACGGCGGCGACAGGCACGGCGAACACACACCGGTGACACCAGCAACAACACGAACAAGATGTATATATACCATGATGTGTACATTTATTGGAGTGTCATTAAATTATTGGTTCATTGTGGAGTACATTGTGGGCTTGCGAAACGGCTAGTGCGCGACAAGGAGAAGCGGGGGATGCAAGTGGCGACCGCTTCCTGCTTGCTAGGCCTTGCACGCCATCATCTCCGACGGCACCAAAAAAAAGCGAAAATGAAAGACACACACACAGCAGCGATGGAGGGGTGGGTAGAGCGCTACGACAGCAGTGCATCTCCCTAGCGCAGTCATATTGATGATTTTGGTGCCGGTTGGCAGCAGCAGCGAAGGCTAACGGCACAAATCTGCGATAGCGGGACAACTCTGACAACACGGCGCAGACAACAGCGGTACTGGGAAAACCAACAACAACCGATGAGCAAGCCTGCACCCGCCCTTGCCTCTGGCCATCCGTCCTCAAACCCTCCAACACACACCTGGCCGCTGTCTTGACCTCAAGCGCGGTAAACTACCGTAAAAAACTCAAAAAAAAAATAGAGGGGGGTACTTATGGTGGGGTGAAAAAGTCCAGCAGCGAACACTTGGATGATAAATGACGTGGGTATCAAGTTCAACGTGAATCGTGTCATAACTCAACGAGAATCGCAATTCTTCCCTCCACATCAGCAAAAAAAGAAAGAAAAAAAAAACCGGAGTCGACGTCACAGCTCCCGTGACAACTCGGGCTCTGGACACGCAACTGAAAAGAGAACCAAGTCCCCCACGGGCAGCAGCAGCAGCCGCCGACGCCTCGCCCACCTCCGCTTCCGATGAACGCCAGCCACTGCCCGTCGGGCGACGCTGCGAAGGTCTCCAGGTGCTTCTCCGTCCTTCCGGAGGAGAAAACTCTGGGAATTTTCAGCACCTTGCCGGTGACCACGTCGTACGAGTAGAAGAAGGACCGCCTGCCCGTGACGATGGCCTGAAGCGAGCGTCAAAACCGGCCATCAGGAGTTGGGCATCAAGCACGCCATGGTGTGGCAAGCACCAACCCCACCATCGGGAGGCACAGGCATCAAGCACGCCATGGTGTGGCAAGCGTCGAACCAACCATGGAGGGGGTAGGCATGAAGCACACTGACGGTGGGATAACCCCGTCTTAACGGCGCGATGAAAAAAAACTCCGTGGACCTCAAGAGTCGGCGACAAGTTAGTTGCCTGTAAGAAGGGAACCAACATGCCTTCCCCTCCCCCCATCCTCTTTCAGCAAAAGAAATACAAGCTGTGCTGTTGCTTTTGGCGTATACGCCGATGGAAACAAGGGCGACAAACGGCAGTTCGACTTTGCAAAACAAGGGTGGCAAGCGGCGGTCCGACTTTGCAGTTAGGGTGCACGGACGGTCCTTGCCTTTTCCGGACCTCACCTTTGTTTTACGCCGTAGCGGGCAACCGCAACAGTCTGCGAGATGCTTTTCGTCATGTTTTCATCGCACACAAGAATTGCTGCCTCAAAACGGGGGACTCTGACGGCTGCGTGCAAGGCAGCACACGGGCAGGCAAAGGCGGCCACTTTGACTACACGCAGCCTCAAAAACACGCTGCTTATCGTGCGCACTGCTGTATTCTTCGAAGCAAGAGGCATACATGCGCGCAGAAGGAACGCGGTGGGAAAAGCTCCCTTACGCTGGCGTGCTTCAACAAGACCAACGCGAAAAATAAGACGATGCGTCAGAAGCGAGGAGGGACGCATGACGACCGCGGGGCTAACCTGCTCCGCCCCGGTGAAGGCGGCGCTTGTGATCGGGAGGTCCTCGAAAAAAATGCTGTGTACCTTGGCGTTTCGCACGCCGTCCACCTACATTGACATTGGAGTGTAACACGAAGCAATGCAATGAAATGCGAGTACCGATGTATTTGCGTGCGGACAGAGGTGCAAGACAGCAGCATCGTGAGGGAAAAATCCCGCCGACGCACGTCAACGAAAAAGAGAGAAAATGAAGACGAGGGAGGGCAGGGAAAGGGACACACGGAGAGGGGAAAGAAAAGAGTGAAACAGACGCACCCAAGGGGGTGCCAACAGAGCCGCCATGTGTAGCACGGCACGGCAAACATCGGCATTCGCGAAAACGACGCCGCAGCAGGGCCGGCGGTGCCGGCTGGTGCGGAGCACGAAACTACCCTAAAACCATAATTGCAAGTTCCATGTGTAGAGTAAAAAACCACCTCGCCACCACGACTGGAGCCCAAAAGGCGACGACAAACTCTTCCCTACGTTCGCGCAAGAGCAGCAAAAACGCGCCGCAGCCGGGCACGCGAGGGAAAGGCCAACAACACACTATTTTCCTACGTTCTCGCGTGAGAGCAGCAAAAACGCGCCGCAGCCGGGCACGCGAGGGAAAGGCCAACAACACACTATTTTCCTACGTTCTCGCGTGAGAGCAGCAAAAACGCGCCGCACCACACCTGAAAGAGACGGAGGGTCTTGTCGAAGCCGCCCGCTAGCAGCAGCTCTCCCGTCGGGTGAAAGCTCACCGCACGCACGGTGGCCTTGGCTGGATCGTGCTGGTTGGCGTCCTTGCACCTAAGAGCGACATGTCCGGAAGGAGAGTTAGTTTCCCCAAGGAAAGCTGGCAAGTATACGTGTTTTTCACCATCCAGTGTATAACGACAAACATGGGTTTGTCATGTATTGGGTATTTTTAGTTGGCACTTTCGGGGACGCGATATGCCACACAACGCGCACGGGCTTCAGTGCAGAAGCAGGAGTATCTACATAGTCCTCGCTCTTTTCTTCATTGGCAGTTACTATGCAGAAATGTGTGAACCTAGGTTGCATTCGTTCACTCACAAAGTCGTTCCGGGTACATCGTTCGGAACAAAACTGCAAGCAATCCAAGGCGAGAATTCTCGCTCGCTTCTGAGTGGCAACACATCTCTCTCCGAAATGTTCCGGTTTTGACGCCGTCAGCGCATAGTAGTTATTGTTATTCGACCCCCCTCCCCCTCCTCGCCGACCAAGCCCTCACTTCACAGAATTCCGTTTTGTTAAACCCCCCCCCCCCCCCACGCCCCCCCCGGTGTTTGCCATCGAGGTTTGGGTTTTCGTCGCTTGGCAACGACGTTGTAAAACAAGCCCCCCACTCGGTGTTTGCCATCGGGATTGGGTTTTCGTCGCTTGGCAACGACGTTGTAAAACAAGCCAATTCACTTCGTGAACTCGGCAACCAGGTTACCGGTTTTTTTTTTTTACCTCGGTTTTTTTTTTTTGGCGGTAACCATAATGGTGGTCGAGTAGATCATGTTGTGCGGGGTCGAGAAACCTCACTCCGCGCAACGGGGGATGATCGCACCACGTTGTGTTAAAATGGTCAAGCTTCCTCGAGGCAGTTACACAGTGCTTACAACTGTCTCTGGAAGTGAAAGCACCAGAAAATAAATTAAGTCATACGTAGCTGTCATCCGTACGCAAGGAAGTAAGCACAAGATGCCGAACACCCTTAGCAGGATGCAGCTCACCCTTCATGCGACTCGCCAAATACCTCACGGCGCTTCGCGCTTGGTGATGTGAGAGCCTGGTCCGGTGAGAACCCGGCGTGCTCCGTCCCGGCTTTGTAGGGATGCGAGGTCAATGGTCAAACGACTACGGCATGCACGACTATGAGTACACCCCCCCCACCCCCCCACCCACACCTAGACACTAGGATTAAGAGGTGTATTCTCTTGAATGTGATTGTACCTAAGCTAGAGTATGCAGGAGAGATATGGGAAGGTAACGAAAAGGCCGTCAAGCAGCTGGAAACGGTGCAGATGGCAGCGGCCAAGAAAATATTAGGATGTTCAAGTACAACGAGCAACACTGTATTGAGAGCAGAATTGGGAATGTACTCTCATAAAACAAAGAGAGACATGCAGAAGTTGAATTGGCAGTACAAGGTAAGTAGAATGTCGGACGATAGACTACCAGCCATGGTTGACGAGGCAGCTTGGGGAAAAGCGACTCCAGGGAAGAAGGGAATCAGATGGGACAAGGTGGTAGAGAAGGTTTGGAAGGAGATAGAAGACGAGGAGGAGACGTTGGACACGGAAGGGTTCGGGGGGTTCAAGACGAAAGTCAAGGAGATGCTAGAGAGTAGGGAGGAGGCAACCCTTCGGAAGAAGGTACGAAGCGAAGACCACTTGGAGATATACGGGAAGTTGAAAGAAGGGATAGGGATGAAGAAGTACTTGGACGGCCCATGGACTATGCGAAAAAGCTGAAATTGCAATTTCGAGTAGGCGATCTGGACTTGCCAGAACGGAGGAAGAGGTACCCCAGCCGTAGGAGAGAGGAAGAGGAGGATAGACACACATGTCCATGTGGCCAATCGGAGGAGAGTAGACCCCACATAGTTGGGGAGTGTGAGTTGTACAGGAAGGAAAGAGAGGATCTCGAGGAGGAAATGAGACAAGAGAGGGTGTGACATGGACAAGTTGGTAGATTAGACAACAGCGAAAAAACGATCGCGATAATTGGGGATAGATGGTGGG